CCCACTTTATAAATAAAGAAAGTAATGATGAGAGAGCGGTTAATCTATCCACTGTCATATAACTAATGAGTGGCAGTGCTGGGACCTAAACCAAAGCCCTTATATTTAACCCCATGTGACACACACTGATTCTCAGCAGTGACAGAGGGAACAAGGTGCATGTTACAGACTCAGAGCTTGAAAATCATTGGGAGGGAAAATAGAAGAAAGGGAAATGTGAGAACTTAAGTAGAAAAAAACTAAAAAAAACAGTGGTGGTGTGCATCTGGTAGATGTAAAAAGAAAAGTTCAGACAAGGGTGACTAATGAGAGATAGTAAAGGAAAGTGGAATGTATGAGTCATGCAGTGGGGAGGTTTCCTTTTGGCAACTGCACACTTATATTAAGAAAAGAGAATACATTGCCAAAGAAATTGTCATAGCATTAATATATGAGTCGTAAGAGAATTTTTACCATATGGTTTGCTTTCTATTTATTGTCTTTTAGTTTTCTGGATAATTTCAGGCCAAATTATTTCAGATGCCACTCCCTCACTCTCACTCTACTCATATCCTAGGCATATTATCTGGGTTGTAGATTAGCTTTTAGTCTACCCTGTTTTTACTAGTCTTCATGATTTGTTTACATCTAGTCAGGATGCCATTCTCAAGTCCAAAATGAACACTGCCAGAAGAAACAGTTTAAATCAGGATGATAAATCAGGATAAAATTGAAAAGTTCCTTTTGTTACGTACAGTGTCTCACTGCAAGAAGTTAACCTTCTCCAAAATTTTTCTAATACTACTTTTTTAAAAAAACAACTTTAATATATTAAAGTTATATATTGATACAAATTTAATAATATATTGATACAAATTTAATTTCTCCTACCAGCCTCCCCTCCTGTCTCTTCTGTGGGGAAGGATTTACTGGTAGATAAGAACTTTCTCCTGAAGGTACTCAAAATTCAGCATCTAATACAATAAGTGCCATGATAAGAGCAGGAATACAAATGAAGGAATATTAACTTATCTGACACAAAGGAAAAAGATCCAGTTAAATTACAGAGAGATATGTAAGCTGATCCTTGAAGCCTTGTGACAGGTAGGAAAGGCATTCTAGACAAAGGAACAGCTTGAGGAAAGCACAGAACACCTCAAGTCTTTCAGTGACTTGTAGACTAAACAGGAGCAGGCCCTCTGGAGATTCTTACTGTGGCTGCTACAGACAAATGTGATTCAGGGTGATTGTTTCTAAAAAAGAAATTATAATTTTAATCTATGGCTAGTGAACAGCTAGTGTCACAATAATGCTAAGAAGGAAGGCCATGAAAAAAAATTCTGCAAAGTGGAGATAAGGGAAGTCCAGCATGGGGGGAAAAGCTACATACAATGTGTACCTTTGTGCCTCTCCACTTTGTGTGTGCATGGCAGGATGGTTCCAGGGATCGAACCCAGATTCTTGTGCATACCAAACAAGCAGTCAACCACTAAGCTCCATCCCCAGTTATACATGACAGCAGAATGCTCTTTGATTCATTATACACAAATGGAGCAGAATTTTTCACTTCTCTGGTTGTACACGAAATAGGGTCCCACCATTCATGTAATCGTACATGTACCTAGGGTAATGATGTCTGTCTCATTCCACCATCCTTCCTATCCCCATGCCCCCTCTCTACTCCCTCCTCTTTTCCCAATCCAAAGTTCTTCCACTCATCCTGTGCCCCTCCCCATTATGGATTAACATCCGCTTATCAGAGAAAACATTTGGCCTTTGGTTTTTTGGGATTGGCTTACTTGACTTAGCATGATATTCTTTAACTACATCCATTTACCTCCAAATGCCAGAATTTTATTCTCTTTTCTTGCTCAGTAATAGTCCATTGTGTGTATATGCCACAGTTTCTTTATTCATTCATCTATTGAAGGGCATTTAGATTGGTTCTACAGTTTTGCTATTGTGAATTCTGTGGCTATAAACGTTGATGTATCTGTGTCACTGTACTATGCTCTTTTTAAGTCCCTTGGGTATAGAGTGAGGAGTGAGATAGCTGGGTCAAACGGTGGTTCCATTCCAAGTTTTCTAAGGAATCTCTGTACTGCTTTCCAGATTGACTGTACCAATTTGCAGTCCTACCAGCAATGTGTAAGTGTGCCTTTTTCCTCACATCCTCACAACACTTATTTTTGCTTATTATTCTTAATTATTGCTGTTCTGACTGGAGATGAAATGTTAGAGTAGTTTTGATTCGCATTTCTCTGATTAATATAGATGTTGAACATTTTTTCATGTATTTGTTGATTGATTGTATATCTTCTTCTGAGAAGTGTGTGTTCAATTCCTTAACCCGTTTATTGATTGGGTTGTTTGTTTTTTTGGTGTTAAGTATTTTGAGTTCTCATATATCCTGGAGATGAGCACTATCTGATGTGCATGTGGCAAAAATTTGCTGCCAAAATGTAGGCTCTCTCTTGACCTCATTGATTGTTTCTTTTGCTGAGAAGAAGCTTTTTAGTTTGATTCCATTCCATTTATTGATTCTTGATTTTGTTTCTTGCGCTTTAGGGGCCTAACCCAACATGATGAAAATTTAGGCCTACTTTTTCTTCTATTAGGTGTAGGGTCTCTGGTCTAATTCCTAGGTCCTTGATCCACTTTGAATTGAGTTTTGTGCATAGAGAGAGATAGGGGTTTAATTTCATTTTGCTACATATGGATTTCTAGTTTTCCCAGTATGATTTGTTAAAGAGGCTATCTTTTCTCCAATGTGTGTTTTGGGTGCCTTTGTCTAGTATGAGATAACTGTATTTATTCAGGTTTGTCTCTGTGTTTTCTATTTTGTACCATTGGTCTACATGTCTGTTTTGATGCCAATACCATGCTGTTTTTGTTACTATGGCTCTGTTTAACGTCTGGTATTGTGATGCCTCCTGCTTCACTCTTCTTGCTAAAAGATTTCTTTGGCTATTCTGGGTCTCTTATTTTTCCAAATGAATTTCAAGATTGTTTTTTCTATTTCTATGAGGTATGACGTTGAGTTTTTTAATTGGTATCACATAGCACTTTTGGTAGTATGGCTATTTTGACAACATTAATTCTGCCTATCCAAGAGCATGGGATATCTTTTCATCTTCTAAGGTCTTTTTCAATTTCTTTCTTTAGTGTTCTATAGTTTTCCTTGTAGAGGTCTTTCACCTCTTTTGTTAAATTGATTCCCAAGTTTTTTTGGGTTTTTTTGGGGGTTTTTTGAGGCTTTTGTGAATGGGGTGGTTTTCTTAATTTCTCTTTGTGAGGATTCATTAGTGATGTATAAAAATGCTTATAATTTTGAGGCAGGCTCTCACTATGTTGCCTTGGCTGGTCTTAAATTTGTAATCTTCCTGTCTCAGCCTCCCTAGTTGCTATGTTTACAGGTGTGAGCCACCATGCCTATTATGTTTGCACCTTCAAAGAAACTTGCTCAGCGGGGCATGGTAGTGCTTACCTGTAATCCCAGCAGCCTGGGAGATTGAGGCAGCAGGATCACGAGTTCAAAGTCAGCCTCAACAACTTAATGAGGCCAGGGCTAGGGATGTGGTTCAGTGGTGGAGTGCCCTTGGTTTCAATCCCTAGTACCAAACAACAACAACAACTTGCTCTAAGGATCTCCACATGGTGGAAGTTGATTTTATTCCAGGATTCACCAGCACTTGCCAATTTTGGGCTGTTTTTCTCTGTTTTTGATTGCTTTGTTATGTAGCTATATGCTCATACTTTTAGTAATAAATTGCATTTATTGAACTTGTACCATGTGTCACTGTTCCATGCTCCTTACATGCTCTTATGATTTTATTTCAATGGTTTTGGCAACTTGCATACGCATTGCAGAGATAAAATTGTCACACAGTAACCCTCAGCTACCCAGAAAGCTGGAATTATTTAACATTAACAGAGGCAAGCCACAAAAAGCAATTATAAATGAGTATATCTGTTTCATAAACCCTTTTCTTACTTGCCTACTTTGGTTATTTCTACCCCCTTTTGTTTCTCTTTATTCTTTTCAGCCCAATTTTTCTCTGAAGAGTCAAAGATTAAGATAATTTGACATATGTATTGAAGTTTATAAAGTATTAATTATTTCTTAAGTTTTCAAATTTTATTTGTATCAACTAACATTTATCAAATGCATAATGACAGCAGTTCTACAGAGGGAATTTTTACATTATACTTTGGTATGTTTGGGTTATACGTTACTGTTCAGTATAACAAGATATGCCAAAGAGGTATAATCTTTTGTTGTACATTTTCTTTGTTGCTATTTTAAGACACATTTTGAGTCAAATAGGAGTTGTTTATTTTACCTAAATTGAAACTTTCAGTACTAGTAAGTTCTCCAAATTTATAAAGCAATAGAATATTTGATATAAGCAGTTGAAATACTTCTTCATTCAATAAATATTTATTAAGTTCTTACTATATATATAGCCTGGGAGTATGGAGAGAAGAGTTGTGAAGAAATGACATTTAAGAATAAGCTGGGGGGGGGGAGCACAAGGCACTAGGTTCAATCCTCAGCACCACATAAATGTAAAATAAAGATATTGTATCCACCTAAAGCTTAAGAATAAATATTTTTTTAAAAAAAGAAGAAGCTGTGGGGCTGGGATTGTGGCTCAGTGGTAGAGTCCTCGCCTAGTATGTGCGAGGCCCTAGGTTAGATCCTCAGCACCACATAAAAATAAAATAAAGATATTGTGTCCAACTACAACTAAAAAATAATAAATATTTTTTAAAAAAATTTTAAAGAATAAGCTGTATTTGTGAAAATAAAAGCAGTTACCATTCTCAAAAAACAACAATAAATTATATACCCATAAACACTCATGAATAGCCATAAAATTTGCATCCATAGGATGTATGGATGCATAAACGGATGGAGGCACATAAATGCCTACTAAATTAAAATTAATGTTATGATTAATGATATTTAAATATTATGTTGTCTTAAAGTGTGTTAACTCTTTTTTTTTTTAATTAAGGTTGACAGATTTGCAATGGAATTAGAACAGGGCCGGGATTTGAACAATACCATAGTGCATGTTGACATGGATGCCTTCTATGCAGCTGTAGAAATGAGGGACAATCCAGAATTAAAGGATAAACCCATTGCTGTAGGATCAATGAGTATGTTGGTAAGTAAGCAAAGATCAAAAACAGAAAGGGAATTTCATAGCATGTTCTAGTAGGCCTTACTAGTTCACAAAGGGAGAAACTTTTATTGAGGTGTACCAATTTGCTGAGTATTTTTCTGGGTGCTTTATAAATGCTCAGTTGTTTTTTTCAACATACATTAAGGTACTATTTTTTTATTTCCACTTGAAAAGAAAACAAATTCAAATGATTAATAACTTGCCCAAAATACAAACCTATTAAAATGGTACTGACATTGTTCTTTTTCATGGCAAATTATATTTTTTCACAAGTGTTCTACTTAAAGAAGAAAGAAAAAGGAAATGTCATTCTAAAGAAGAATTTTTCATACTGTGCCTACAGATCAAGTTCACCCTGCCACCCTCTTTTTAAATACATTTATTGGAACAAAGTTACAGCCATTTATTACTGCTGTTTCACTAAAAGAGTAGAATTGAGCACTTACAATAAAAAATATGATCATAAAGCTTAAAGTGATTACTATCTGGACTTTCACAGAAAAGATTTGTCAACCTAGTTCTAAAAGTGAGCTATTTTATTACCATGTTACATTTAGAACACACTTTAATAGTTTTTCTCAGAATCTTCATTTTTCTGATCACTATGTTGCTTTTTTTGTTTGTTTGTTTTTACTTCTTCCTTGACCATAGAAGGTAAAGGTGACCAGGATACAGAATAGCTATATGTGGCTGAAAATGTATTGAGAATTAAAAGTACTAGAATAGATAAATGGGTTTGGGTATAAAGAAACATACCATGGCTGGGCACAGTGGGGCACACCTACAATCTCAGTGGCTTGGGAGGATGAGGCAGGAGGATCACAAGTTCAAAGCCAGCCTCAGCAACTTAGCAAGGCCCTAAGCAACTCAGCGAGACTCTGTCTCTAAATAAAATACAAAAAAGGGTTAGGGATGTGGCTCAGTGGTTAAGTGCCTCTGGGTTCAATCCCTGGTACCAAAAAAAGAAAAGAAAAACATACTGAAGAGAGTTATTCCCTGTTGTTGCCTCCTTCTGGTGCCTTAGATAGCTATACCTTAATCCCTACAGAGTTATTATTATTTTTAATTTATAATCTGTGTATTTCCTATCTCTATTCCTATAAGTATACACACAACTGACAAGTCTGGTTCTAAAATAATGTTTATCGAAAGGGTACTCAACTCCCCTTTCTTACAAATCACCAAAAAACATTTGAAAAAAATTGTATTAATAAAATATAATATCTATATTTATGTATGTGTGTTTTATGCATACACACATACTGTAACCTTGTTAGAACTATAACCCACTGCTTTTGAAATCTACAAAAAAAAAATATCTTTCAGACACTATCTATCCTGATTATTTGCTATATTTAACAAAGATTATCCTTTTTGTATGCTGAACTAAATTAAATTCCCTTCTGATGAGAGCTGAAGCATAAAATTGTTTTTGTCTTAGTGGACTCATAAAAGTGTATCTACAAATTAGTGAGTGTGATGGTGCATATTTGATTATTCCAGTAATTCTTCTTTTGGTGAATTTAATGGATTTTGGAAATGTTCTGAGTTGGCTCTAAGAATAGGAACTTAGACTTGTAGCATTTTCTAGTGCTGTATAAGAAACCCTTTAGTAGTTTATAGACAACCATGTCTTTTCTCATGATTCTATAATTTGTGCAGAGTTCAATGGGGATAACTCAACTCTACCTGGGGTTAGCTAGGGCTGTTTAATTGGAGCCAGAGAATCTAAAATGGCTTATATCTAGCACTTCCACAGAAGCGATTAGAGTGGCTTCCAATGTTTGTACTTTCTTCTCTCCATGCTCATCCTTTAGTAATGTACCACAAGGTCTTTGCAATGGTTTGCTGGATCACAAAAAAGCAAGAGTAGAAGCTGAAGGCTTCTTAAGACCTAGGCTTCAGGACTCACACTGTAGCATTTACCACACATGCTTTTGTTCAAAGTTAGTCATAAGGCAAGTCATTTGGTATAAGGAACTAAAATCTTACCTTTTGAGTAACTTGTAAAACTGTTATGGCTCTGATTCATGATCTACCACAAACAGAGGAATTCAAATCTTTGTTTCTGTTCTACTTAGATATAGCATTCATATTAGTTCCATTACACTTATTTATATTTATAGCATTGGTTTGTCTTTCTAGTATGATTTGCATTTTCCTTTTTGGATCACTGAGCAAGGATTAGCATAGTTTTAATCCCTCTCAAGATTTTTAAAATACCTTTTGAAATTTATTAAAGGAAAACTAATAATATTTTGTGATAATTCCTTCATTTGATAGATTGTGTTCTGCTTTTCTTTGAATTTTCACTTGAGATTCCATATAAAGATTCTATTTATGATAAAAAATTTTTTTAGTAAATGGTACTGTGGTCTACCAGATTGACATATGTTACTGACAAATATCATCACTAAGGATTTAATAAGTAATATTCTCTGTTTTACTCTCATTCTTTTTAAATTCCATCTCCTAGTCAAAATGGTTTTACCAAAAAATATATTCATGTGTTGAGAAATAAAAATTCATTTTGGAGACTTAATTTGGTTAGACCTTCAATTGTTAGTTGTTATTCTAGGTAAAAATTTCCCCAAATACCAAATTGAGCAAATCCAAAAATATACTACAGATCTATCATCCCCAGAAATCCAAAATCCATCACTCAAAAATTTCAGATTTGGGAGCAATTAGATTTTAGATTTCCAGATCAGGGATGCTTAACTGGTAAAATCTGTGCAAATATTCTAAAGTCTGAAAGACTCTGTAATCTGAAATACTTTTGTTCCCAAGCACTTTGGATAAATGATACTCAACCTGTATTATTCTATATTATTACTTTCTATACTGTGACTTTTATGTAATATTTAAATTATTTGCACTATCCTATTAACTATTCTATACTATTACTTTTTATATAACAACATCCACTATCATCCAGACTTGGATATGTACTATATTACAGGTATGTCTTAAAACAAATGAAGTTTATTTTCAGGGGGGCTGGGGTTGTGGCTCAGCGGTAGAGTGCTCTCCTAGCATGTGTGAGGCACTAGGTTCAATCCTCAGCACCACATAAAAATAAGTAAATAAAATAAAGGTATTGTGTCCAACTACAACTAAAAAAAATTATTTAAAAATATGAAGTTTACTTACTGGAATTACGAAAGAATCTCTTTATTAGAATAGCTTAATTACTATCTGATATCATATTATAAATATAAGGACAGCAGTGAGAAAGGGTCATGGTATTATCATACCATGATAGGATAAAGTCAAACTCTGGGTTCAGTGATTCAAGAGAGTGGCCTGTAATAGAAATATCCTTGAATTGAAAATGCATATCAATAATGTGTTTCTTATGAATGCATGGATCAACATGTCCATTTACTTTTGTTTATTTTTCTCTATGTGGCCAATTCTTTTTCAGTCTACTTCAAATTACATTGCAAGGAGGTTTGGTGTTCGTGCAGCCATGCCAGGATTTATTGCTAAGAGACTCTGCCCACAACTTATCATAGTGCCCCCGAACTTTGACAAATACAGAGCTGTGAGTAAAGAAGTAAGTTGATATCTCACTCCTACTTAATATTCTTTCTCTGGTTTTCTGCCACCTAGAGAGTCAACTCTAAATACCTTAGCACATCAGGATTTTAGTAAATGATACTGTGGTCTACCACATTTAGTCTCATCTTTAGTCTCACCTTCAACCACTTCTTCACATTATATATTGAATACTGAGCTGTTTATGGTACCTGGAATAGACCATTCTATTTTCATGAATTTTTTGCATCTGCTTAAAAAACTCATCTCCCCAAACTTTGAGTAACCTTAGTAACTTAAACTATTTTTTCCTAATATGAAAAATACATTTTCTTCTAGAACAACCTTATAATTAACAGAATCTACTCATCATTAATTTTAGTCTCTTCTGAGTGTTTTTAAGCAGTGATGAAATTCACTTAATTACCTGCTTTCCTTGTCCCACGATCTTGTGAAGTTACTTGAACATATAATATCTTAGAAATATTAAATCAAAGAGAAAAGGGAATAATTCATTGCTTTGAAAAGGATCTCTGAAGTATAAAGATTTGATTATTTACTAAAATTCCAAAGTATCTTATATGAAAAATAGCTGTTTTCTCTGTTTTATAAGAACTGGCCTATCCTGTAGTCCTGGGATTTAATTTGAATGCTATATCTACATCACTTTTAGACTGCTAGAGTAAATGCTGTCTTTTTAAGTGAATGGAAGCACTTAAAAACTATGGTCTGCCACTTGTTAAACATTTAGACATGCAAGTAACCTTTAAATTCATCCTTTTATTTGTACTCCATCTCATTTTGCTAGAAATGACATCCTATCCAAGTTTTAAAAGAATATTCTTCAAAATAGTCTGTTAAAGCAAGTGCTCTGTGCCTATCAGAAACAGTGGAAAAGGAGAGAGCAGTACACTCAAATTTGATGACTGTTTATCTCTCTTATTGTGTTTTTAATTAAAAATAAATAAAATGCTAATCATGCATATAGGTTTTTAATAAGTTAAAAGTCCCATAAAGACTAAGAATTTTAAGTACCACTTTAACTCAGTAAAACTAGACAGTGTGACAAAGAGAACTAAATTGGTTCTAGTTTTCTTTCATCTGTTTATTTACATAAGTTGGAAAAATCTTAAGATTCCAGCAAAATCTACATAGTTAATTTGCAGATAAAAAATCAACTATAGATATTTTTGGCTTAGTTTAGAAAGCTTAAGGAAGATCTATTTTTGTTTTGTCCAAAATATTGGAGTAGCTTTAACTGTTCTTAGAGCTTTAAGTGCTTGATTTTTTTACCTGGAACATATCTATTTTTGTTTGCCAGTTGCCTAGGAAAAGGAAATAAGTACTAAGCAGTGTCTCTAGAGAGTACTTCTCATTCAGAATGTTAGTTGTCTGCTAGCTACAGACTTTCCAGAGTTTCATTTTTACTAGAAAGATTCTGTTTGAGTATATTATAAAAATGGTTTCTCTACAAGAACAAAGCTATTTTAGGCCTTCTCTGAGTAAAACTATTCTGAAATTCCCCTTGACTCAGCTGTTCATAATTACATTAAGCTAAAACACTTTCTTTTTATAAAGAAACAAAAGTTTTCTCAAGATATAGTAGATAGATTTTAAATGCTAGATGAAATGTAACATAATTCAGCCAATGTTTTCTAATATATGTTATTATTTTGTCAATCATTCCCTCTAATTATAGCTAATACTTCAGTTGTAAAAAACAGTCATCAAAAAAATTCATAGTTTCATGTAATAAAAATCATCTTATATAAAAGGAATTTCTGGATTGTATCACTAAAATTCTATATGTATTTCCTTTATCCCACGAGGCAATGCCAGACTTTTCTGTATAATATAATGTAATCATGAAGTTACGTTACAAATTTTAACATCTTTTCCATTTTAGATGCCAGTAAATAGTAAACTTTCATTTCCCTGTATGGATACATGCATTAATGTGTGTATTGAGAGTTGTTTTTTGTGCATGTTATAATTAATTGAGTATTTTTACATAAGATTATCCCTTTTTAAGATGAATAAAAATCATCCTAAAAGATGAGAGTAGAATTACTTTTAGCTAGCTTCCTAAAACCTTAACCATTTTCTTTTCTGTCTACCATAATGATGTCATCTGAGATTTATTTGAATTGCTTACTATATCAAGTTGTAGGTGGCTAAAGAGAGATTGCATCAGATGAAACTATTTCATGGCCTTCTGCCTTCATGATCTATTTTAAGACAAAAGAGAATTTGACAAATATGCACTGGTAGTAAATTATTTATTCCTTAAATCTATGGTCTATTGATTGCAGGATCATTACTGTTGTTGCAAAGAAAGAATATTAATGTTTCTCATCAGCTATATGTGACAGGAGGCTTTGCTGTAGCAGCAGAATTTAAGCTTCTTTTGTTCCTTTTGAAGGTTAAGGAAATACTTGCTGATTATGATCCCAATTTTATGGCCATGAGTCTTGATGAAGCTTACTTGAATATAACCAAGCACTTACAAGAAAGACAAAATTGGCCTGAGGACAAAAGAAAATATTTCGTCAAAACTGAAAATGCCATAGAAAATGGTAAGCAATTTATAAGAATTATCAAACTAAACACTAAGAAACAGAAAAGTAACCCTTTGAATCAACCCAGTTAACTCCATTAGCATGTGTAGGTGGTAGGATTAGATATATCTTTATAAAAATGAAAAATCAGAAATTTAAAATATACCAGGTTTAAGTTAAATGTATAAAATATCATTTTAAACCAAATGAGATTGTTAAATCTCCAAGCACTATAAGTGCTGAGTCCCTGTACAAAGTAATTTCTTAAAATCTAACAGTATTTTCTTAAAATCTAACAAAGAGTTTAGATCGCATTAAAACTGAGGAATTTGCTGGGGCTGTGGCTCAGTGGTAGAGCACTTGCCTAGCATGTATGAGGCAGTGGGTTTGATCCTCAGCACCATCTACAAATAAATAAAATAAAATAAAAAACTGAGGAAGTTATCTGTGTAAGGTAGCTTTTTTTGTTATTGTTCTTAATAGAAATTAGATTTTTTAAAAAAGATATCAAAATATTGAGTGATTCTTTTCTTTTCTTCATTTCCCATGTTTTTTACAATTTGGTTGTAGTATAGCAATTATTACTGTTTTCTACTCTGCCAGAATTAATGACTTTCCTTTCCCTTCTTTGACTTAGACCTTATCATGACTCTAGAATACAATGAATCAGAAGTTTCATGGCTTCATAGATTTTTTTTAAAATCACTCCCTTTATTATCTGTTCAAAGCAATGCCAAGAAACATACAGATATTATACATATTATTTTATGTCTACTCTGTAATATAAATTTGGATGGTGGATACCAGTCTATGTAAGAAACTGAATAACACTCACTTTTTAGCACTTGCAGTTCAGATGGAATGCTTTAATCCTGGTAATACCATACAGTGTACTCTGATTACCTCAGTTACGGGGATTACAAAAATATTCAGTTTGGAAGTAAATAAACAATTTTAGCAGTTAGTTATATTTCCAGGCCTCCCAAAGAAGCAAAATGCAGTTGAGATGGAAAAGGTAACATACCATTCTGCAGTAGCTCTAATAATGTACCAGGAGGTACCAATCTTTGCTTTCTCCTGTAGCATTCTACTATTGCAGTGACTCACCTGAAAACAGGGTGTGAGAGGGATTAGCCCTTTATAACAGCATAAGGAACTCTGCAGGAGCGGCTTATGAATGTGACAGGTACCTTACCTGATCTGCAGTTTTTCTTCTACAGCTTTTATTACCTTGAGTTCCACTCATCCAATGGGGAAACGGGCTCCAGTGAATATCATTTCAAATGTTCCGTACTTTGAATCCCCTCTGAGTTACTCTGAACTTTAAAACTAGATATAAAAAATGAAAAGGAACTGAAGCATATAAGTAACAGTTAATGTAAAATAGGGTTCATATGACCTGAGAATTCCAATTTGGAGATTATATCTGTGACATAATTTCTATTACCTACCTTAAAACTTGAAACTAATCAGGTTTTTATCATATAATTTGTTATCTTTTTAGAAAAGTTTCCTAAAAGACTAAATTTATTTTTCAAGTAATATACTTTATGTGTATCTTGAAACTTAAGAAATTTAATTATTGCTACTGTATTTACCTTAATTTGAGAAGCATTTATGAGATATTATGAGAACATTTTAAGTATGAATATAGATTTAAGTGTATTTTACATTATATTTTGAAAAATGCAAATAAAATGAGATAATAATTGGGATTTTTATTTTACTTTGTAATAATTATAGTTTATAGTCTAGTGATAGTATATGTTCTTTTCCTTAAACTTAGACCTTGGTTAATCCAGTCAGACCCTAAAAATTTGTATAAAGAAACATAACTTTCAGGGGCAATTTGTATTTGTTGCAAATGTACCCTTAGTAAAAGTGATACTTTGCACAAGCAAGTCAAAATAAAATCAGATTTAAAAGAAGGAAATAAAGATTTGACATTTGAAAAGTTTCTTCCAGGGATGAAGAAAAATTATTTTCTCTCTAAAAGCAAAACTTACTTTTCAGATATAATTATTCTATTTGCCTAAAGCCTTTTTTCCTCATTCCTAAAGTCTAATTTAGTAAAGGTCTTTTTTTCCATATAGAAGAATAAAAGGCAAGAAATACTTTAGTTTTTAAAGAAAAAAAGTAATGCATTTCAAAATTTAATGAACTTTACATAGGGTAGATCCTTTTAGAATGTATAATATGAAAAAAGATAATTTTTTTAAAAGAAAAACCTGGACAGTTTTTTTCTTGATTGAACAGTTATAAAATATAAATTGTAGCATTTCTGATCATGTTTTCTAGAAACTATTAAATTTGCTTTGTCTTCAGAAATAATGTGACGGGAAAGTAGAAAAAAGAAAAATTTAAAGAAAGAATGAAGCAAAATCTAACTTGTGAAATATATACCTCTTAAAATGAACATGAGTTACTGTTCCCGTTTATAATTTAGATCAACCAGAAAAGGACGTGGATAAACTGAGTGAGCATGAACGGCCCATCTCTCCACTGCTTTTCGAAGATAGTCCTCCTGATTTGCAAACCCCATCGAACTTTGAAGAACAAAACAATCCTCAAATACTACAAAATTCAGTTGTTTTTGGAACATCAGCTGAGGAAGTGGTAAAGGAAATTCGTTTCAGAATCGAGCAAAAAACAACACTGACGGCTAGTGCAGGTCAGGATCTTGATGCACAGTGTGGTTGTAAGTTTTGGGCTGACTTAATTCAAGTGTCATATTAATAATTTCTCATTTGAAAGGATATAGTATCTTTTTACTTATCTATTCTTTTTTTTTTTTTTTTACATTCTGAAACTTTACCTATTCTGAAGAGCTGTGAACCTACAAGTAAATAGGAATTTAGCAGAAAAGCACATGAGCACAAAGAAAAAAGCCTATCATAAATCTTATGTAGCTCTTCTTTTGTAAATGCAAAATATATGGTCATTGGTTTTTCTCATAAATCTTGATTAGTTCTTCCTTAGGAGACTTCATTGCTGTCTTAGAATATGTGCAGGAGAGAACCCAGAAGACATCAAGATAGAAGATAAAAAATTAAAAAATCCAAAACACCAGCTAGCAATGTAGCAGTTTAGGACCAACTGGTAAAAGGGGAAAAAAACAAAAACAAAAAACAGCTTTGCAAATGTCAATAACCCATAAGGGCATCACTATGTAGCATAATAATTGATACTCATCATGAGGACCCTGAATTATCTTGTAGTACTCATGTCATAATTAGGTTAATCTTTCTTTAACAAAACATGAAAATGAATAGTAAAATTTAGGAAAATATGTATAAAATTAAAGTGAACTATTTGATGGCTCTATTTGAATATATCTGTTTCAAATTACCTTAATCTCTAAGACTCCTGGAAATTGTTAAAACACCTTTCTGAAAAGTAGTAATTTAATTTGCTTTGTGAGTAGCAAAAGGGATGAAATGTTTTAAATAAATATACAGAAGCTTTTTTTTTCTTTATGTGAATAATTCATTAAAAAAAAACTTTTCAAAGAATAAACATCCTTCACAAATTATATTCTGGATCTTTTCTAAGTAATGGTTATAGGGCCAGCCACTATAACAACCCTGTATTTCTACTAAAGATAGTAAGTAAACTCAGTAGTAAGTTACATTTAATATTACTCAACTCAGAAATTATTTTTAGATTTTAAATATCATGGAGAATTAAATATTCCCATTTCTTCTGCCCCAATAACTAATAAAATTCCTTTTCTTAAAACCATAGCAAGTACGCATGGTGGCATACTCCTGTAATCCCAGTGACTTGAGAGGCTGAGGCCGGAGGATCACAAGTTCAAAGCCAGCCTCAGCAAATTAACAAGGTTCTAAGCAACTTAGTGAGACCCTGTCTCAAAATGACAACTAAAAAAGGCTGGGGATGTTGACCAGTGTTTAAGTGACCCTGGGTTCAATCTTTAGTACCAAAAAAACCAACAACAACAAAAGGGAAAAAAACAAAAACAAAAAAACACCAAAACATAGCAAATCCTGAGGAAATAGATGATAATAAAATGTTATCTTTAAAGTGGCATTATGTATCATTTCAGATTATTTGCATTTATTTTTTTCTGTTTTGTCATCACTTAGTTAAAAATAAATACATATCAACTTTTATAAGTAGAATGTTCTTTTAATTCTTTTAAGGAATTGCTCCCAATACAATGTTGGCAAAAGTTTGCAGTGACAAGAATAAGCCAAATGGACAATATCAAATTCTCCCCAACAGACAAGCTGTGATGGGCTTCATCAAAGACTTACCAATTAGGAAGGTAAGATTTTATATAAAATTTATCATCTGGTACATGTTCTCTGAATTCTGAAGGGACATCATTTAGGCTGATAGTAATTCTTTGCTGAGAAGTTTTAAAACAATAGACAAGAGGCAAGAATTATAATTGGTGGTTAAATGTGGACTTGATGAGATCTTTCTGTGAAACCCTAAAAATCAGGTTTAGGAAGCTTATTTCTAGAAATTTTTAGGAGCATACTTGGATGACAGCTTTTAAGTGGATTCCTGCAAAGGAGAAAGAAATAAAAAATACTTAGAAAAGTCCTTTCCCAACTGTACCTTAATAGAGTGCTACCAAATAGGTATATTTCAAAGATATTTAGAATTTTTATTATTATATAAAAAAAGCAAAAATACTTTACCATCTTTAAAATGATAAAATTATCTCTTAGGGGTTCCAGAAAAGGGTATATTTTTATTACTCTTCAGAGCTTCCAAATTGTTCTGCATAGATATCTTTTTTTTTTCAGTAATTACTCTATACAATGTTTATGATTATTGGATAATATATGTAAGACATAATTATAAAGTAGTATTTTCTAATGTGTTTTTCAAAGTATAAATAGGTGTTTCATTTAAAAAAAGTCTGGATCAAAGAGCTTTGGGGTGGGCTGGGGCTGGGGCTCAGCACCACATATAAATAAATAAAATAAAGATCTATCAACAACCAAAAAATATTATTTTTAAAAAAGGGGGTCACTGTTTATATATTAGTGTATTAAAGATTTCTAATTTTGAAGCAAAATTTTCCATTTAAATTTGTTGACTGTCCATTCCCTAAAGGTATATATGACCAACAACTCCTTTTTTTTTCTTTAAAAAATTTTTTTTGTAGTTGTAGATGGACAGAATGCCTTTATTTTACTTGTTTATTTTGATGTGGTGCTGAGGATCGAACCCAGTGCCTCACTCATGCTAGGCAAGCACTGTGCCACTGAGCTATAACACCAGCCCAACAACTCCTTTTTTAGTGCCTTTAAAAATTAAATGGAATGCTCTTTAGGAAATGTGACCCGAAAGTAACAAAATCAGTTTTCTCACAAGATTTGTGATGATAGTAACATTATTTATACCTTTAATAAGATTACCCTCTCAGTTCTGATCTTAATTTAAAATTAATGATAAATGTTGATTCTCTTCTAGGTTTCTGGAATAGGAAAAGTTACAGAGAAAATGTTAAAGGCCCTTGGAATTATTACTTGTACAGAACTCTACCAACAGAGGGCATTACTTTCTCTCCTTTTCTCTGAAACATCTTGGCATTATTTCCTTCACATCTCTCTGGGTCTAGGTTCAACACATCTGGCAAGGTATATATAGTAATTCTGCTTAATTATTTGCTGAAATGTCAATTTTAACCATTGAGATAGAGACTATAAAGATAACGTGTTTTAAAATCCTCCAAGACCAGTTTGATTCAGAATATAATGTTTGGGTTAAAAATCAACAGATTAGATTCAGGAGAAAAGCAAAAGAAAAATAAAGACTTACACTTCAGCAGTTGAGTAGATGGACAAGAGAATCAATGATTATTTTATTTTTTATCTCTGCCTTATTCTTTTTTCAGAATATAAGAGGAATGCTGGTTGTCAGATTGTTGAGGAAAAAAAGATGGCTTATATTCCATAATTCATTCTTTAAGGAAGGAGTTTTAATGATTCTTTGAAAGCCTTCATGAACTGACAATATTTTATTTCTTTTCCAGATACATAAGTAATTTATTCTTTGATTATTGTGTTAAGCATTGTCCTAGGAATTAGGGATAATGACAGTGACTAGGAGAAAGTCCTATATTCATGGAGTTTGCAGACTAGTGTGTGGGATAGAAAATAACCATTAAACAAATGGTTTAAAGGAAAGTAAAGTAGAATGAGGGCGCAAAAAATGACTTTGGGGCTGGGTACACTAGCACATGCCTGTAATCCCAGCGGCTAGGGAGACTGAGGCAGGATTGTGAGTTCAAAGCCAGCCTCAGCAATTTAACAAGGCCCTCAGCAACTTAGAGAGACCATGTCTCAAAATGGAAAATAAAAAGGGCTGGGGATGTTACTCAGTAGTTAAGCACCCTTGGGTTCAATCCCTGGTACCAAAAAAAAAAAAAAAGACTTGGGGCTGAGTGGGGGTTGGCAACATTCATCCAGAGGCAGAAAATTGACGGACCCAATGATGCAAAGATCTAGGAGACAGGTAATGGCTAAAGAAGTGGGCCTGTGTTGTTTTTTTTTTCCCCCTCCATCTCTTTTTCATCTAGGTCTTAACAGGAAGTACCCCACAGCTGGAAAGGTAAATTGTTAGGGATAGGTGAAAAGAAGGGAATAAACAGACACTTATCAAAAGAAGAAATAGAGATGACCAACAAACATTATGATAAAATGTTTAACATTATTAGCAATCAGAATAGATAATAGGCAAGAATTATAATTGTGGTTATAATTTCATCTCATTTCAGTTAGAATGGCAATCATTAAGAATACAAATAATAATAAATGCTGGTGAGGAGGTGGGGGGAAGGTATACTCATACGTGGAGATTCCTCAAAAAACCGTATGACCCAGGTATCCTACTCCTTGGTATTTACATTGAATAACTAAAATCACCAAACTGTAGTAATGCAGGCATGTCAATATTTATAGCAGCACAAGTCACAATAGCCAAGTTATGGAACCAGCCCAGAGGCCCGTCCACAGATAAATGGATAAATGGAAAAAGAAAATGTGGTATATATACATAGTGGAGTTTTACCAATCATTAACAAGAATGAGATTACAGCATTTGGTGGTCTATGGATCAAACTGAAAACATCATGCTAAGTCAAATAAGAGACTCAAAATCAAGGGTCAAATGTTTTCTCTCATATGTGAAGTTAGATCAAAATAAGGGGGAAAAACAGAGTGGGGTCAGGGATGGGGTCAGGGGGAATCCCATGATAACAGAAGGGAGATCAGTGGTGTAGAAGAAGGGAGTAGATGGGGAAGGAGGAGGGTTGGGTAAAGGGAGTAACTTCAGGATGAAATTAACAAAATTATAAATTTCATCTTTATGTATATCTATAAAGTACCAATTTTTTAAAAAATTATAAATAAATACAAGGAAGACTAGTATAGGTAGGTGAATAGGGGGGCGGGAGGAGGGGAGAGAAAGGGGAAGTACTGAGGACTAAAGTGAAATAAATTATTTTCCATGCATGTATGATTGTGTCAAAATGAACACCAATATTATATATAACTATAATATACTAATAAAAATATTTTAAAAAGAAAGAATAGGAATCACAGAAGTCAACCTTGGACACTATTTTTGCAATTTTGTCATTATCTTGTCATCCTGTACTCAAAATGACTTCTTATTATTATATTTAAAATAAAAGACAACAATAAAATTGCTGAGAATGTCTATAAAATTAAATAACCAATTAAGCCTGCTAAATCTTAACAGATTGCAAGGCTGTATTATAATTCTCTTGCTGCTCTTTTTTATTTTGAATTTACAGTTAGCTCATTTTGATCTTGTAGGTAAAATGAAAGATGAAGATATCACAGCACTATAACTAACTAGTATTTGAAGAAATCAGGAAATAAAAATGTCTTCTGTAATCCAAAAATTATTCTCTTTTTATTTCCATACTTGCTTGTAAGCAATATAGTTCTGATATAACACAGCATATATTGGTATTCAGAGAGAATAATAAGGGAAATCTGTGGGTGTTTTATGATAAAATAGCAGATCTGACTTCCCCTCAATCCATGTTCTCTATTCCCCTACTGTGCTTTGTTTTTTGAGCTAAATGCTTTCTTCTTCTAAGGTATTTCATATTTACTTTTATATTTGTCTATCAGTCTTTTCTGAAATAGAAAATAAAGACTTGTTTTTTTGTTTTTGTTTTGTCACTTCAAGGGATGGAGAAAGGAAAAGCATGAGCGTTGAGAGGTAATGTTTTGTTATTTATTGTTAATTGTTCATAATGTTATTTTAAACTAATTTCTAAATTAATTTTTAGTACAGTATTTGCAAATCACATCAACGGTTTTCAGCAGTTTACAATGCTGCAATATATACTTCAGCTTACATGCTACAGTATACTTCGGTACAGGGTATTATTATCTTTGGTTGTGCCACTCTCAAATTAACTGCAATCTTTTTTTTTTTTTCTTCTTTTTTTTGGGGAGTTGGGGGTTGTACATGGAATTAAACTCAGGGGCACTCAACCACTGAGCCACATCCTCAGCCCTATTTTGTATTTTATTTAGAGACAGGGTCTCACTGAGTTGCTTAGTGCCTCTTTGGTGCTGAGGCTGGCTTTGAACTCTTGATCCTCCTGTCTCAGCCTCCCAAGCCACTGGGATTACAGGCATGCACTACTGTGCCCAGCTAACTGCAGTCATTTTTATGCATGTTGATTTTACTTCTGTTCGCTGAAAACTAGGCATTTTAGGATTCCAGTTTCTAATTTCTAGTCTTGAAATTGAAGATTTATTTGGGAATTCTTTTGTTTTAAATATTTTTTTTAGTTGTAGATGGACACAATATCTTTATTTTTATTTGTTTATTTTTATGTGGTGCTGGGGACCAAACCCAGGGCCTCACTCATGTGAAGCAAACGCTTCACCACTGAGCTGCAACTCCTGCCCAGGAATTCTTGAAACTCATTAAATATTGGTTGCATGAGCAGAGGCATTAAATGATTGAGCATCCCTAGTCTGAAAATCTGAAGTCTGAAATGCTTGAATTTCCAGAATGTTCTAAGTGCCAATATGTCACCACAAATACAAAATTTTAACACCTGACTTTATGTGATTGGTTGCAGTCAAAACACAGGCATACTAAAAATATTGTGTAAATGTGCCTTCAGGCTAAATATATAAGGTGTATATGAAGCAAAAGAATTTCAGGTTTATTCTTGGGTCTATCTCTAAGATATCTTGTTATATCCAGGCAAATATTCAGAAATTGTTAAAAAAAAATCCAAAGTCCAATCTATGTTCTTGTCTTGAGTATTTCAGACAAGGGATCCTCAACATGTAGTATTATATTCTTGGTGAATGAGAGCTTAGAAATGGGCTAATTTAGTGGGCTTACAATCTTGTTTGCAAGACAAATGAAATCTTGATATGGAACTTTATTATTTGAGAAAATGTTTTTTAAAAGTCTCTCAATTATTTCCTCAAAGAAGCAAGATGTCACAGGCATTTAAGAACCACTGACCTAGTAGAAGGTTGGATTTGTATTTCACATGTTATTTCTGACCAAAAAATCTGAATGAATTTTATAAAACAACATACTCAATAAATGGCTTTGATAAAAATTGCTGTTTTAGGTTGTGATTTACATAAAAGCAATCTGAGAGAGAGAACACATTCATCCAAAATGTGATTATATGAGTAATGTTGTACAGTTTAAAAATATTTCTTTTATATTTTTTTACTTTGTTACTGAGAAAATTATTGATATGTGGGAATATATTCTCCAGTTTTCTTTCTGAAAACTCTCCTTGGCTTTTTTTTTTTTAAAGGTGCTGGGGATTGAACTCAGTGCCTTATGCATGCGAGTCAAGCACTCTACCATCTGAGCTATATCCCCAGCCCCTCTTCTTGGCTTTTTAAAAAATTGTATTATAACATCAAATTCTTTATGGGATTGGGGAGAGGGAGATTGTAATTCACAATCACACATAAAAACCTAACTTCTCTAATATGTAAAGAACTCATATAATCAATAAGAAGCATCAGTGTACCAAATATCTAATTAGTTAAGAGAAAAGGAAACAAAAAATGACAGGCTATATGAAAATATTCCCATTCTCATTTATAATTAAAGAAGAACAAAGTTCTCCTAGATAGCATTATTTACTGATCCAGGGAAGACATCTTTAGGGACCAATATTTGACCTACAACAAAGGGTAAGAAATTTGGTAATATCTATCAAAATCCCAGATGAATTGTTATATCTTTGAATTAGAATGTTATGCTGCCATATAAAATGAGGATATTAATTTCTCATTGGTAACACCAAGATAAATTGAGAAAAAGCAAAGTACTAAATAACGTATGTAATATTCTATTTATATAAAAAAGGGTAAAATTATTGCTTGTTTGCTAATATGTACATATTAGCCCAATGTTTTTGTGGTTGTTGTTTGTTTGTTTCTGTAACCACATATCTTAAGCTAGATAACTTTTGAAGAAAAGAGGTTCATTTAGCCTGGAGGTTCAAAGGTAAAGGCCTACATCTGCTGATAGCCTTCTTATTGCTCCAAGGCAGTGTAAGGCAAACACATAGCAAAAGATAGAGCCATGTTATGTGTTTCTTCTAGTGACTCTCCCTCTCCTTGTAAAGCCACCAATATTCAATCATGAGGGCTTCCACCCATATGACCTTGTCTAATTCTAATCACCTCCTAAACACCGTAGTTGATGATTTGCACCCTTTTAATATCTCACACTGGGGATTAAATTTCAACACATGAACCGTTGGGAGATATATTCAAGCATAGCAGATCGAATATTTCTGGAATTCATATGAATAAGAAGCCAGAAACATTGGTTGCCACTAGGGAAGAGTACTGAGTAGCTGGGGATAGTCTTAGAAGTGGGGATGCTACTGAATTACTATTTGCTCAAGGTTTTGTTCTCACTGCTGTGATCTCTCTTTAATGTCTGACTCTTTAATGTTAATATTATCTATTTCAATATCTTTTTGAAGATATTCAGTTTTGCATTTATTCTTACCAGCCCTCCATTTCCACTTATCTACTAGATAAGTAGATATGTACCTGGGTACTGAGCCAACCCATTAAATCTACTTAAAGACATCTTTGTCCAGAGCTAGGCACAGTGGTATACGCCTGTAATTCCAATGACTTAGGGGGCTGAGGCAGGAGGACTGCAAGTCTGAGGCCAGCCTTATCAACTTAGCGAAACCCTGTCTCAAAATAAAAAATTAAAAGGGGGGGGGGGAAGAAAGAAAGAAAAAGATATGCTATCCAGAAAATTCATGTACAATATGATGTTCTCATCTGTATTTTCTTAAAATAGTCTTCTATAGCAGAATCTATATACATATATACTTGACTGAACGTATTATAAGTTGGGGCATTGTCTGTTGATGACTTTAATCATCTTTTTAAAAAATATTATAGAACAAGAGTATAAAATTGCTTCTTTGCAAATCAATTTACCTATCTACATGGTTTTCTATTGTTTATATAGACTGTAGGTGTTTCTACTTAATTATGTCTTAGTTCATATGAAAACTATTTGTACAGCAGAATATATAAAGTAATTCTAGACCATTTAAATATACTATATCATTCCCAAATTATTTTGAGTTACAGTTTGCTTTGTGCACCAAATCATTGTTGTTTCTCTAGGACCTTCAGTGAAATAAGTAAAGCAGAAGAACAGTACAGCTTGTGCCAAGAACTTTGCAGTGAACTCGCTCAAGATCTCCAGAAAGAAAAGCTTAAGGTACTTTATTTTAATGTGGTGTTCTAGTTTTTAAAAATTTTAATGATGCTACTTGAAACAAGTTAGATTACCCATTTCTTAAAGCTCAATACAAAGTAGTTAATGTTGGAACAGAATATTCTGTCCCCAACAATTAGAGACAAATTTAATCTGACCCATATCTGAGGTCTACGATGAGATCATTCTATGAAAAAGAAACTTGTGATGCTGGAATGCTTCCAGTATCATTATACACGACTTTATACTACCTCCAGAGTACTTTGATTAAATATAACATGAGAGTATATTAGCCTTAGAAAGGCAAAGAAGAATTTCCCCAGAATTGTACTCACATATTATAAATGCCTTTCCAATTAGTCTTTAATATTTTTCTCACATAAACAATGACCTTCTAGAATAATAGACATTTTGTTTCAAGACTCTAATCCAGGTTGCTTACTTGGGGTGTGGGTGGGGGGAGCCTGGAATGCTTTGAACTTTCTGTTTTTTAATCTTTTCTCACAACAATCCATGTTTAGTATTTCCCAACAATCTCAAACCAGGAGTGGAGTTGTTCAAAGTAATAGAAAAATATTAAAAAGTTATTACAAAAAAACTGGAATATCTGATGAGCCTTTTTCTTATAAGCTTCTCTTTTGATGATATAACAGAGTTCTTCTTAAAACTATATTTTAAATAAACTTTTAATTTTAGAAAAATTTTAGATTCACAGAAAAGTTACAAAAAGAATATAGAGAAGGAGCTGTGGCTCAGCAGTAGTGCACTTGTCTAGCATGTGTGAGGCACTGGGTTAAATTCTCAGCACCACATATAAATTAAAAATAAATAAATAAAGGTCTATCAACAACTAAAAATAAGAAAAATTAAAATGATAAAAAATATAGAGATTTCCAGTGTAATCTTCATCCAGTTTCCTCAATTATTAACATTTTGTGTTAACAGTACATTTGTCAAAACTAAGCAAGTGACATTAGCACATTATTGTTAAATAAACTCTAAATTTTATTTGGATTTTGCTCATTTTCTGTTAATCACCTCTTTATTCCAGGATTCAATTTAGGGAACTATGTTGCATTTATGTCTTCCTAGTCTCCTCTGGTCTGTCACAGTTTCCCAGTCTATCCTCTTTTTTCATGACTTTGAAAATCCAATCTGGGTTTGTTTGGTGGTTTTGTTTTTTAATAATTAGACAAGGATATAAGTTTTTAGAAAGACTATCACAAAGATGAAGTGCCCTTATTGTATCCTGCCAGGTGGTATATAGTTGCCATATGACATCTCTGGATTTTATCAGTTGGTTAAGGTGGTGATTGCTACGTTTCTCCACTATGAAATTACTGATTTTTTTCCTTTGAAAATGAATTAGTAAGTCTTAACTCACCCTCAAATGAAGGAGAATTAAGTTAAACCTCCAGGAATACTAAAATATGCACAATATAAAATTTACAGTTTTTGCCATTTGTCAGTGTCTGGTTCAGTGGCATTAAGTACATTCACTTTGTTGTGCATCCATCCCCACCATCCATCATCATCCCCAGATGAAATTCTATACCCGAAGACACTAACTGCACAGGGAATTCTTACACATAAATTATTAAATATAGTATTTGGCATGTACCAGCCACACAGTAAATGTGAGCTTTCAGTAAGACCTTTTTAATGAGGATCTTTTATAAAAAAAAAAAAATTTTTCATGCCTTTTTAGAAATTGAATTAACTAAGATTCAATAAAAGGAAAAATGATCAGTTAACTTTCCCTTTATATAAGGGTATCTTATAAAAATTAAGTTGGGTATGGGAATAATAGTATCTAGAATAGAATTTTCATATTATGTATAGATTTTAATTATTTCTTGTGATAGTTGTTATTATCATGTTTTATAAATAAAATTTGTTATACTTCCACATTCTTACATGTACATAAAAGACATTTCTAAACTTAGGGGTTTTTGGGGGGAGGCGGTTCTGGGATTGAACCAGAGGCATTCAACCACTGAGCTACATCCTCAACCCTATTTTGTTTTTATTTAGAGACAGGATCTCACTGAGTTGCTTAGGGCTTTGCTGAGTTGCTGAGGCTAGCTTTGAACTCAGGATCCTCATGTCTCAGCCTCTGGAGCTGCTGGGATTACAGGCGTGCACTACCATGTCCCACCCATTTCTGGATTTTTCTAACATGTAAATAACTTTTTTCTAAATATTAGAAAGCCTATATAATAATATATTCTATATGTTATAGGGTAGAACTGTTACCATTAAACTGAAGAATGTGAATTTTGAAGTAAAAACTCGTGCATCTACAGTTTCATCTGTTGTTTCTACTGCGGAAGAAATATTTACCATCGCTAAGGAGTTGCTAAGGACAGAAATTGATGCGGATTTTCCACGTCCCTTGAGATTAAGACTTATGGGTATGTTTTTTTTTTTCCTTAAATCTATTAGATTTCCCCCAAAAAAATTAATTTTCAAAAAATTTTCACCTCTATTTTGTTTCTTAAACCTGACTACAAAGTACTTTCTGTGCTGCTGCCATTTATTGGAACCTGATGCATGTAAAGCCATGATTATTGGTTTGATTCCATTTTGAACCAATTGAAGTGTTTCTTATTATGTACTGGAATAAAGTGGACAAGAAAGGTTTCAAAATTCAAACCTATTCAGATATTAGAAAGCAGATTCACTGCATAGTAAGTATATTATGTAATACTCCTTTGGGAGTCTGGAGCAGTGCCCCGTGATGAAATAACATTAATAAACAAAAATATATTCACATACAATAAGGACTCTAAATAACTTCACATTAATTTAGGCATCATTTATCACTTGTTGCTTATAATTTTCAGAACTTTTTGGATTTCAGAATTACAAATAAAGGATTGAAACACCATGAAATCACATCTCCAGCCATTATATGATAAAAACAAATAGACCATGTTTCCAAAGTGAATTATGTGAAAGAATGTGTATGGATAAGCAGTCCAAATGTCCACTTTCTTACTAAGAGTGGTTCATTAGCCATACTTTCATATAAAAGATAGCATACCCTGAATCAAAATAACGAATGTTCATTAAAAGAGCCAAATAACAAGTTATCTATAGATGCTTTATTCATAGTTGCCTAAAGATGTCCTTCAGTTGATGGATAAATAAATTAGGGAATAATCAGACAGTGTAATAATATTCTGTACATAAAAGAAATAAGCTATTTAATGATACATGCTTGTATAAAGGAAAGTAAATAAGCATACCTGTAATCCCAACAGCTTGGAAGGCTGAGGCAGGAGGAACACAAGTTCAAAGCCAGCCTTAGCAACTTAGTGAAGCCCTAAGCAACTCAGCAAGACCCTGTCTCTAAATAAAATATTAAAAAGGAGCTGAGGATGTGGCTCAGAGGCAAAGCACCCCTGGGTTCAAGCCCCAATACAAAAAAAAAAAAAAAAAAAAAAGCTATCAAGCAGTGAAAAGAAATGCAGGAAACTTACAGGTTGGTAAAAGAAGTCAGTCTATAAAGGTTCCATACCATATAATTCCAGCTGCATAATATTTTGGAAAAGATAAAACCAAACAACAAAATATTAGTGGTTTTCTAGGGTTAGACAGAAGGGATAGATGGATAGGCAGAACACAAAGGAATAGAAGGGCAATTAAACTATTCTGTGATTTATAATAGCGAAGATATGACATAAGAAAATTTTCTAAACCCATAGAATGTACAGTGCCAAGAGTGTGAACTCTAATGTCATATCAATATAGGTTCATCATTTGTAACAAATGTTCAACTTTGGTGTAGGATGTGGATATCAGGAGAGGCTTTACATGAATAGGGGCAGAGGATATATGAGAATTCTCTGTACCTTTTGCTAAATTTTGCTGTGAACCTAAAACTCCAAAAAAAAAAAAAAAAATCCTTAAAAAAACAAAAAAAGCTAAAGGGTCTGGGTAGTTGATTTCAATTTGTTGTTTTATATTGAATGCCATTATATGTCAGATATTAATTGAAAGTTCTGTCATCATATGAACTGCAATAGATTGCTAATATTTAGTGATACATGCTTGTATAAAGGAAAGTAAATTTCCACTCACAGTATCAGCTTTGAAAACACATCCTTTAGTTAAAAGAATATTGGGCTAGGGAAATACCTCTGTGGTACAGTACATACTTAGCATACACAAGGCCACACATACAAAAGGAAATATATACAGCCTTGCTTATTATTTCTCTGTAATCAACCTTTTATATAGATGTCACAACAGTATTATGTAAAATGTTTTTAATATACCTGTTGGCTTTGTTGAATTTGGAATTAATTGTGATTGGTTTAATTTAGGTGTTCGAATATCTGGTTTTCCCAATGAAGAAGATAAGAAACACCAACAAAGGAGCATCATTGGCTTCTTACAGGCTGGAAACCAAGCCCTGTCAGTCACTGGGTGTATGCTAGAGAAAACAGACAAAGATCAGTTTGTAAAACCTCTAGAAACATCTCATAAGAAGAGTTTCTTTGATAAAAAACGATCAGAAAGGAAATGGAGCCACCAGGACACATCTAAATGTGAAACTATAGTTAAAGAAAGTTTACAGATATCACAACCATTCCAAGTTTTAAAGAAGACAAGTGAGAATTTAGAAACATCAGATAATTCAGATAACTTCCAGATATTTACCTGTCCTGTTTGCTTTAGGGAACAAAGAAGTATCAGTCTGGAAGCCTTTAATAAACATGTAGATGTGTGTCTTGATGGACCTTCAATTAGGGAGAACTCAAAAATGAATTCTTCAAATGCTTCCTCTACTGAAGTTAACCTGAAAGAAATCACGAACCATTCTTTTTTACTTTGTGAAAAGCAATATTATGAAACTCATCAGAAAAACGTAGAAATCACTTCAGTAGATTGTGTAAATTTGGTAGAAACTAGAAATAATTCATCTAAAGCAGGAAGTATAGACACTGAGCACAGCAAGGAGGAATGTTCTAGTCTTCCAAGCAAGTCTTGTCTTGTTTCATTAGAAAATCAAGATGCTGAGTTACTAAGTAGACATGAACCACTCCAACCTTGTGTGTATCAAGTGACAGCAGGCCAAGCGCTAGTTTGTCCAGTATGTAATCTAGAACAAAAAACTTCAGATCTTATGCTGTTCAATGTGCACGTGGATGTTTGCTTAAATAAAGGTATTATCCAAGAACTGAAGAATGATAAAGTTTATCCTCTTAACCAACCCAAAGATAGCTCCAGAAGTACTGGTGAGTTTGTAGTCAATTGGAAGAATTTGATTTTCTAGGAATATGTAAGATTGTTCATTCTGAACACATATTATTAAAAGGGTAGTTTGTATATGCTGCCAGCCAGGAAAAAGTTACCTGACCGTAGATTGGCGTTAAACCCATTGACTCCCAAATTTTCAATAATCTGAATATTGTAACAGAATTGATACAGGTGCATTAAAATAGTTTGAAAATTATAATCTAGAGCTTATATGCATCATATTAACATTCTGTTATTATTATACCCTTTAGTATAATTATATTTAATATGATTATATTTTATATAGCATTGTAGTTATATAATTTATATGTAATATAATTATACATCAATATATAATTATATTATATAATTATAATATTACATTATTATATAATTCTAATTGTTTTTAAAGCTATTGGTTTGAGTTAACCCATTTTGTCCTAACAGAAGTGGAATACTTATACAAAAATTAAATATAGTATATATAATTATATAATATATAATAAGAACATATATGTAAATACATAATTATATTCATAATATATTTATTAGTGGGGATTATATTTATACATAATAGTGGCATTCATTTTGACATTCATAAATTCATATAACATTCTGTATTTCAATCCCTCATACTTTCTCTTTCCTCCTCCCTACCCTTGATCCCCTTCCTCTACTCTATTTAATCTTCCTACTGTTTTGTTTTTTTTTTTAATTGGTTTGTTATAGTTGAATATAAAAGTAGAATTCATTGCAATATGTTCACACGGGCACATAGCATAATTTACTCAACTTCATTTGTAATTCCTCCCCTTTCCCATCCCTTTTCTCTTCCCCTCCATTTCTCTCCTCTATTCATCCATTCTCCCTTCTATTTTCTTGAGATCCCCCAAGAGAGAAAGCATTCGACCCTTGACTTTTTGAGTCTGGCTTATTTCACTTAGCATAATGTTCTACAGTTCTATCCATTTATGAGCAAATGACAATTTCATTCTTCTTTATGGTTGAGTAAAACTCTGTTGTGTATATATGCCATGTTTTCTCTGTTCACTGTTGAAAGGCACCTAGGCTGGTTCCATAACTTGTCTGTTATGAACTGTACTGCTGTACACATTGGTGTGCATATATCACTACAGTATGATAATTTTACTCCTCTGAATAAATACTAAGGAGTTTGGATAGCTGGGTTATATGATGGTTACAATCCTAGCCTTTATAGGAATCTCCATACTGTTTTCCAGAGTGGTTGTACTAATTTTCAGCCCACTAACAATGCTGTTAAGTGTATCTTTTTTTCCCACCATCAGCAATTATTGCTATTTGTATTGTTGATGATTGCCATTCTAACTGGGGTGAGATGAAATTTCAAGGTAGTTTTGATTTGCATTTACCTGATTGCTAAGGATGTTGAATATCTTCGAATGTGTGTGTTGGCCAGTGGGTTAACTGAAATCAGTAGCTTCTGAATTTAGGAAAACTTCAATTTAGACTTTAGTTAGCATATAATGAACTCAAGTCATCTAATCAAAAAAAAAATTCCTTCAAAGAGCATTTGCCAAAGTATGGTGGCAAATCATACATATATTTTTATATATTTACATAGTTAAGATATCTCTTAACTTGTTTTTGGTAGTGCTAACTACCAAATTCCAAAAATGATATTAAGCATAATGCTAGTAAAACTAAGTAAATTATGAAGACATGCTATAAAGCTAGTTTCTGTTATGTAAAATATGAACTATATAGTACCAATAAAATTTTTAGTATCTTTAATCAGTCAGCTTTAACATTTTAAATTTTTACACGGTTTTTCAATTATTTTATGTATTCCATTATGGAATTTCTTGACTTTCTTCCCTCTATAGGTAGCTCAAGCAGAGTTCAGAAGACCAGAACAAAAAGGTATGACTAATTTGAACTTTAATAAAGCTAGCAGTAAAATCATGTTTTGCGGGTCAAATTTAAAGGATGTCAGAATTATAAGTCAACAAGTAACATTTTAGAAGTTATTTGAAAAATTATTTTTAAAAATCTCTTCCTGTATTTTAATTGTGTGTATGTGTGTGTTTCATTTCAGGGTAGGACTAACCGCAAAGTACTCAGCATCAAAGAAAATAAAACCGAACAATCCCAGATACACTCTTGATATATTTTTTAAATGAACATTGAATATTTTATCATCAATTTTAATTGAAACTTCTTATTTTGTAATAAATGAAATTATTCTTCCTCATTTTAACTTTATAGATTCATGTAGGGAAGGCAAGTACAATAATTCCTCCCAAATGATGTTTCCTTTTCTAAGAATTTAGAATATAGGTTAATTTATTTTTGTATTCATTTTAATTTTTTGGTACCAGGAATTGAACTTCGAGTACTCTACCACTGAGGCGCATCCCCAGCCATATTTTGTATTTTATTTAGAGACAGGGTCTCACTGAGCTGCTTAGTGTCTCACTGGCTTTGAACTCTGGATCCTCCTGCCTCAGCCTCCTGAGCCACTTGGATTAGAGGCATGCGCACTGCACCCAGCTTCTTTATACCTTTTTTATAACAGTGAGAATTCCATTTCTGTTACGCGTCAATTGGAAATCATTCCTGTTAGAAATAATTTTAAAAGGAAAAGTAAGAAATGAGATCAGAAAGTGATTTACTGTCTTTTTCCTTCCTCTTTTTTCAGTACTGGGGTTTGAAACTAGGGGCATTCCACCATAGAGCTATATCCCCAGTCCTTTTTTATGTCTTTTTTGAGATTGTCTCACTAAGTCTTGTTAAGTGGCAGAGGCTGGCCTGAAACCTTTGATCTTCCTGCCTCATCCTTCTGAGTCATTGGAAATACAGGTGTACACCTCCATGCCTGGCTTCTTTATTACTTTTCTAGTAAATATAAAAGCATATTTAATGATGATGGATCTTAGAGATTCATAAACCTATTTTAGCCTAAGAATTTTTCAGCACTTAACCACTTTATAGGCATTGAACGGCTATGTTTGATCTTGTATCATCAGGTACTTCATGAGCATTCATAATTAAAATTTATCATCAGTTCTATGAAGAATATTAGCTTAACAGCATGAACGATTTTGTTAACTTCAGGAAAATAATATCACCGTAGTGTGATAGAAGGATTTTTACTTAAAATATTGTTTCTTTATTTTTTCTATTTAAAATTCTTTTATCTTGTGAATAAGCACTTGCTTCACTTTAAAAAATATTTGATGTAATATTCAATGTAGTTTTTTTTTTCTAATATAGGACTCTTATTTATTATTATTTTTTGAAGTACTCTACCACTATGCTACATCCCCAACCCTTTTATAGGACTTTTTTTTTCCTCCTTTGGGTGCTGGGGACTGAACCAAGGAGTACTTTACCACTGAGTTATATCTTCAGTTCTTTTTATTTTTTATTTTGAGGTAGGGTCTCGCTGAGTGGCTTAGGACCTCCCTAAATTGATGATTCTCCTGCCTCAGCCTACCAAGTTGTTGGGATTATAGGCATGTGCCATCATGCCCAGTTCTAATATAGGACTTTTAAATGGCAGTATTTCATTCCTTGGCAGTTAATGTTTTCACTTTCCACAGATTTCTTAAAAAAAAAAAAAAAAAAAAACAGATAAGTTATTTTCATTCTGCAAGAGAAAAACAACCTCTGTTCTGTTTTCTTTCACCTTTTTATTAATATTTGTAAAATAAGACAACTTAGTAGTTAGGTTAAGTAGTTACTCCAAATACTTTTTTTTTTCCAAATACATTTTTACTATCAATTAATTCTTATCCAAAAACAGTTACAGGGCTGGGGTTGTGGCTCAGCGGTAGAGTGCTCGCCTAGCACGTGCGAGGCCCTGGGTTCGATCCTCAGCACCGCATAAAAATAAATAAATAAATTGTGTACAACTACAACTAAAAAATAAATATTAAAAAAAAAAACATGTCTAAATGTTAAAAAAAAAAAAACAATTACAGAATTACAGGGAGGGAGGTTAGGGAGGATGGGTGCATGGGGGCAGGAAAGATGGTGGAATGAGATGGACATCATTACCCTATGTACATGTATGACTGCACATATGGTGTGATGCTACACTGTGTACAACCAGAGAATGTAAACTTGTGCTGAATCGTATGCAATGAACCAAAATGCATTCTGCTGTAGTATATACCTAATTTAAATAAAGAAAGAAAGAATTACAGGGCTGGGGCTATATAGCTCAGGGGTAGAGTGCTTGCCTCAAAATGTGTGAGGCATTGGGTTCAATCCTCAGCACCACATAAAAATAAATAAACAAAATAAAGATATTGTGTCCATTAAAAAACAAATTACATAATTGAATCATAAAATGGAAGCCATTTCTGTACTGCTTTAAGGAGCTGAATCTTTTTTCCCTCACATTATTGTTTGCATCTCATATTTTAGTTCATTATCTAAATATACAAAGAAATAATATTGGAGAAGCCTTTGACTAAAGTGGTAACTTCACTTTTAATTGCCGATTGTTTAAAATTAGGTTTAATGATTATTAGCCTGCCAGCCTCATACCTGATGTCATACACCATGGCACATACAAAGTTGTAGCATTATGATTCTTGATTGTATGATTTCCATATGTTAATAATCTACAAAGTTAAATTCAAATGAAATTGGTTTAATATGTTGAAAAGTAGAAACATCGTATTTAATTGTTTTCTATCTTGCCTGAAATATTTTTATTGTTTTCAACATCAAGTACTAAATTATTTTCATTCAGATGATCTAATTAATTGAATGCTAATATGTGGTAATATTTAATACTAATTAAAATGAATTTAAAAGTTTAATTGATCTGTGTTATGATTTTCATAAGCCTCCTGTGTTTCTGCAGAACTACTTAAAGGTAAAATGAATTGTGAGAGCTGTATCCTAATCAGTCCATCTAGTTTGAATGGACTGAGTGGCAATTATAAATGAGTGGGCATGGCTACAAGAGGTGGGTCACTGAGGATGTGCCCTGGATGAGTTGTTGTTCCTGCAGTCCCTTCCTTTTCCCCCTCCTTCTCTTTGTTTCCGCTTACTAACCCCACCAGGAACTTAAGCAGCTTTCCTCCACTGGGTCCTTCCCCCATGATGTGCTGCCTCACTTTGGGTTCAGGACTGAGACCTCTGAAACCATGAGCCCAAAATAAATTTTTGTTCCTCTAAGTTGTTATTGTTGGGTATTTTGGTCACAGTGACACAAAAACTGACTAAAACAGTCTGTTAGCCAGTTGAGATTGTTTCTTACTTTGCTACTCTTCTCTCCCTCTGGTGATGCCACTCTTATTTTTTTCTGCCTGGAATTCTCTACATCCTTTACTATCTGTTTTGCTAATTCATCAGCCCATTCCCTTTTTATTATAATTTTGGTTTGGAGCATTTTTAGAAGGGATAGCAAAACTATAAGGAATAATAATAAATACCCATAATCTTATTTAGAGGGTCAAAATATGAAGAACCACTTGGGAGATCTGCAACATATGTTACTGGGTATAAAAAAAAAAAAAAAAGCAACACACTATCTGGGAAGTTAAATTGTTGTAAATCAGAAAGAAAGAAGAGACAGTTAATAGAAATTTAGACAAAAGACTTTAAATGACACTTCATGTGAAAGGAAATTTAAATGACCAGAAACATGAAAACATTCTCAGCCATATTTATCATCTAGAAATGAAACATAAAACTACAAAGGGGTAAACAATTCAATGACACCAAATTTTAATGATAATGTAAACTCTTTGAAAATAATCACTTTGAGTGCTAATTTCTGACCCAACCCCAATTGGAATTCCACAGTAAAGAATGAGGAGTGGGGATGGGGCTATAGCTCAGTGGTAGATCACTTGCCTCATATCTCTGAGGCACTGGGTTCCATCCTCAGCACCACATAAAAATAAATAAAATAAAGATATTTAAAAAAGAAAGAATGAGGAGTGGGGTCTGTTACCTCTCCTTGAATGGTTTGAAAGGTACATGGTTTTTAAAGTTCTCTAAGCCACATACTTAAGTGAAAGTGAATCTCCCTTGTCATACTTTGGATTAGTTCCATCAGCTACTCAAATTATGGACATTTTGTTCAAATATTTGTTTAAGTAATACAGTTTTTCAAAATGTGGTGTAAGAGTATTTTTTGCCTACACATTGTATATAGTTAATAAGGACACTAAACTGGCAGACCCTTGCTCTGACATAAGACATATATAATTTACGAATAAAGTAAACTAAATCCAAATTATTTACAATATTTCCAAAAATCACAGACAGTAAGAACCAATTGCCTCTGTGCCAGAGATTTACTATTATTAGGGGGAAATTACAATTCTAACAGCAAGTAATGAGGTCTGACTACTCATACCTCAGTGCTTAGAAGTGTGTCCCTACCTGACTGAAGTGTAGGGAGGGGACCAAGTTACCTTGCTGAAGTACACTGACTCCTTTTGTGATAGTTGCTTAGCTTCCCATTGGGTGTCCCAGAGAGGCTTTCTGGGTGGGTCTGAGGATGTGCCCTGGATGGGTTGTTGTTCCTTCAGCCCCGTATTTTCCCGCTTTCTTTTTCTTTCTGCTTCCTGACCCCACCAGGAACTGAGCAGCTTTGTTTCACTGAGTCCTTCCCCCAGAATGTGCTGCCTCACCTTGGGCTCAGAGCAATAGAGTTGGCTCTCTATGGACTGAGACCTCTGAAACCATGAGCCCCAAATAAACTGCAGCTCAGGAGTTCCTGTACAGGATAGTTCCCAGACACTTGAAGAATGAATTCTCTGGGGCTGGTGTTGTAGCTCAGTGGCACAGCACTTGCCTTGCATGCATGAGGCCCTGGGTTTGGTCCTCAATACCACATAAAAAATAAATAAGTAAAAATAAAAATATTATGTCCATCTACAACTAAAAAAAATAAAATGAAGGACAAATTCTGAAAGACCTATGAGCAAATGGTGCTGAATGGGTTTTTTTAAAGCCACAGTTTCATTGTCTTAGTCAAAGGATTATTAAATGATGAATTTTAAATTCCTTTTTTAAAAAATTATTAACTTCAAGCATAGCAACTTTGAAACTGGAATAAGTATTTTCGATTAATAAAAATCAATCATGACAAAAAATAATCACTTTGAAATACAATTAGTAATAAATTCAATAAATAAGGTAAATAAAAACTGGAAACAAATAAGAATAAAATAGTAATAAAACTTTCCTTATTTTCAGATGGTATATTAGCCTACATTTTAATATTTTTTATTTTTTAAGAGAAAAGGCTTATTCTGGCTTACTTACCTACATTTTAAAAACTACAATAAGTAAAAGTTCAGGAAAGCTATGTGTATAAGGTCAACATACAAAAATTAATAGCATTCCTATAACACAGTAATACCCAATTAGAAGAAACATTAAAAGTAATCTCATCATAAGAATAACAGTCTACAAGATACCTTGGGAAAAGAACTATCAAAAATTATGCAAGAATTTGGGAACTACAAATATCAAAAGATAAACAATAAATGAAAAGAATAATCCTGTTCATGAATAGGGATAAAATGACTATCTAGAAACCCTACCCCAAATTATTCTGTAAATTCAATAAAATTCAAAACAAAACCCCTCATGGTTTTTCTTAGAAATTGGCAAGTAGAACCTAAACTTGATATAGAAGAGCAAAAGCCCAAGAATAAAAAAGTAGAACAGGCCCTTTTAGATATCAATTATATAGTAATTAGTACCATTTTAATAGAGTGTTATTGGCATGAAAAGAGACATTTTAAATAACTCAGTATGAAAAGTATTGACTTAACCAGAAGAATGAGAAATTATACTCATGTATGACATGTCAAAATGCATTCTACTGTCATATATAACTAATTAGAACAAATTTAAAAAAAAATAAAAGGATTGACTAAAGTAAATGGTCTTTGTATGATTGATTATCTGTAGAGGAAAAATAAATTCAATCCATTCCTTTCTGTGTCAGTAGTCCCCAAGGCTATGTTCAGGTTTAACCTCATTAGAAAAGACTAACAGAACTCAGAAGTTGTAATACTTGTGGTCAGATTTGTAGCAGTGAAAAGATAACAAAATCACCAAAGAGAGGAGTAGGGCCAAGTCTAGGAGAAATCAGGCTCAAGTGTCCAGGTGTCTCCTAATGGAGTCATATGAGGACATACTTCATGAGATAATACGTGCAAAATATCACCAACCAGGGAAGTTTGCCCAAAACTGGTGTCCTCAGTTTTTACTGGAAGTCAGTGACATAGGCATGCATCACCCATGTAACTGACCTTAGTCCTGAGCCATCCAGAGATCTAATGTTACCTCCTGGCCCAGGACCTCAGGCTTCAAAAACATTCATTTGCCATAAGTCATAATTTTAATATGAACTTTCTCATCGACTACTACAATATGGCTATTGTATTACAATGTTCTTAACCAGGCTGGGTAGCTGAAGGGCTAAGAGACTATCTCTCAAGATGATCAAGGACCAATACTGAAGAGAGCTCCTTTGAGTAACCTGAGCCTTTTGCATTAACCCTTTTTCATGCACGTACAAAATGTCAGTTAATTAGAATTGTATTAGAATGAAGTATAAAAAAGATAAGGATTGCTTAGGGGTAGCTTTTTTCTGCTTCCTTTTTAAAATGCAGAGAAATTTCAAACCCAAAACATGATTAGGGGATCTCAGGTAAAGATGATAGTCTATGTATTTGCAATGCATCATTATTAGTATATAATACAAAAAATGGCATAAATAAGGCCTAATGATTGTGTGCATGTGTATAATACCCTCTTCAATGGAATTCAAAGACCCCTTTTAGTATCAGTCTTTGTATTATTCCTGTAACCTTTAGTTGTACATTTTACCTTAAATTTATGTGATAGGAATAAGCATTGTAAGAAGTATTTAAATCCAAATTATTCCGTCAGAAGTGCTTTCATTTGAAAGGTAGTGTGGGAATTGCATGTTTTTAGGTCATAGCTAACAATGAGCTGTGAAATGCATGGCAGGGTCACAGGTTTACTTTAAGTACTGCCAAAACAGATGAGTAAATAACTTGTAGCAGATAATCTGTAGAAAAACATTAGTACACAGACCTTGAGAGTAAGCAAGTAGAAACAAAAGGAGCTAGTTGGGGCAATGCATAAAGAAAGAAAGACTAATGGAACTAACTCTTGATAGAGTCCAATGAGGTCCTTGAGAGGGCTCTCTGCTTGAGCCTTTTGACCTTTACCTTTCTTTCACTTTCTCATCTAATAAAGTTCTCTTGCATGGCTTTTAGTGTCTGACTTTAAATGTTCTTTCATTGGAACACAAGAGTCTGTTTCAGCTCCCCTCTCTCCTGTGACATATTGACTGTATTGAAGAAGGAACCTTCAATAAGAGATTTTAGTATCCACATTGTTATTGCCAGCCACGTTAGAGTTTAAGAAGGAAATTTGGCATTAAGTATAATGTTTATGTAAAAGGTCTGGAAGTTAGTCAACGGGGTACAGCAATTAATAGGAGACACTTTTATTGCCCTCATTTTAAAATGTCTATTTGAAACTAGTTATCTTTTAACTCATCCCCTTATTTCCATCTCTACCTCTGTCAGTCCCAAAGCTATTACTGAATTCCAACCCTTAGTTTCTTTTAGAAGTATCCAGTTCTTTCTGTTGTTTTTGTCAAACCCTTGTTATTCATTTCTCAGTTTTTCCTTCTCCATGATATGCACTTTTTTATAGATTAGCAGTAAAAAATGTTTTTATAATATCATTTGAGTTTTTTATGACTTTAATTTTATTCAGTGCCTCACGCATGCTAGGCAAATGCTCTACCACT